CTTCCTTCCTTCCTTCCTTCCTTCCTTCCTTCCTTCCTTCCTTCCTTCCTTTCTTCCTTCCTTCCTTCCTTCCATCCATCCATCCATTTCCTTTCTTCTGTCTCTCCTTCCTTCTCCTTTCCCATCTCCTTCCTTCCTGCCTATCTGCCTGCCTTCTTCTCATTCTCATCTCCCTCCCTCCCTTCCCCCATTTCTCCCTCTTTTCTTCTTTCCCTCCTTCTCTTTCTCCTTCTCCTTTCCATCGTCTTCCTTCCTTCTCCACATTCTCATCTCCTTCCCTCCCTCCCTCCCTTCCCATTCACATGTCTTTCCTTTCCTTTCACCTTCCTTTTCCTTCCTTTCCCAAGTCAGTTTTGATACCCAGCAACTCCCAGTTAATCCCAGCAGGTTTGGGAGGATGAATTTGTGATCCAACTAGCTGAAACCCACCCAGTTGGCTTTCTGACTCACAGAACTAGAACTCCCCTCCCCATTTTCCTTGCGTCTTAACCAGGGGTGGGATTCAAAAATTTTAACAACCGGTTCTGTGGGTGTGGCTTAGTTGGTGGGCGTGGCCAACGCAATATCACTCACATCAAGGCACGCATCTCCTGGCCTCTCGTGACTGTGGGGATGCTGCAACAGTCATAAGTGTGAAAAATGGTCATGAGTCACTTTTTTCAGTGCCATTGTAACTTTGAATGGTCACTCCACACAAGCAAAGTACCAGCAAAGAAGGGGAAAAAATCTCCAGAGAAGTCCCTGAGACAGGAAGTCCAGTCCTGCCAAGAATGTAATAAGGGTTAACAGAGAGGCAGTTTCTGTAAGCAACACCAGAATGTTTCCTTCCTGCCTCCCTTACAGGATTAGGCCAGTAATTTCTTCTAACAACCGGTTCTCCAAACTGCTTAGAATGTTAACAACCAGTTCTAGTGAATAGGTGCGAACTGGTAGAATCCCACCCCTGGTCTTAACCCCTAAATACAACTATCCCTTTCCTTTTTCCTGGTCAGACTTAACTTCCTGCTTAGGGTTTCCTGCCTAGGCAGGGGTTGGACTAGAAGACCTCCAAGGTCCCTTCCAACTCTGTTATTCTATTCTATTCCTCAGTTCAAAATCTCAGTGTGGGTGGTGTGTATTTGTGACAAACAGCCTATGTGCATTGTTACCAAGTCAGGTTTCGTGATTACTTTAGATTGGGGGTATCCAACCTTGGGCACTTTAACACCTGTGGATTTCAAGCGGTCAAGGTGGGACTGCTTTAGATTCACGGGGTCTCGATGTTTTCCAAAGCCTTGTGCCTTAAGTGTTCTGCAGAAACAGATCCAAGTGTGGCTGTTGACCAGGGTTGTGTGTCGGTGAGTGACTGCAAGCCAAACCTAACACAGTGAGGCAGTATCGTTTGTAAACTCCTGCCAAAATTTCATTCGGTAAAAGGGATGTTTAGCCACAATCTTCCTTACCTTAAGTTGTCCAACTTGGCCACTTTAAGACTTGTGGACTTCAACTCCCAGAATTCCCATAGCCAGCAAGATTTTACTGGAAATCAACATGGATGGGATAAGAAGAAACGTGGCTAGACTATTCTATTTTTTGATAGGGTAACTTTAATAATAGATAGTGGGAACACGGTCGATGTAATATATCTTGACTTCAGCAAAGCAAGGGGAAAAAAAAGAGCTGGCTGGGGAATTCTGGGAGTTGAAGTCCAGGAGTCTTAAAAGTGAGCAGCACCTTTGCATGGTTAGGGAAGGGTAGGAAGCCCTCAAACCTCTGGAAGATCCCGATTTACTCCCTGGGACCCCTGCCCCATTCCCAGATTCCCCTCCACCACCACCCCTTCAATCCTCTCTTCCTCTTCCAGGCCGTCATCAGTGTCCTGTTCTTAGCTTCCTTTCTACACCAAACCCACGGGTGCTTTTCAAAGAATGATTGCTGCACGGACAACAAGATCGACACTTTGGGAAAAGACCTCCAAGTGAGCGACCCAATCTTTACCTCGCCCTCTGCCCCGGTTTCAGCCACAGATTGCCAAGCATTGTCCAAAGGCACCGTGGCCCAACGATCCATCTCTCCTTGGAGTTACTGGTAAGAAAAACCATCGGCCAAATTGAGCCTCAAATTTTGTTAAGGTATTGAGTTTAAGAGTTGACCAGTTACTGTAAGGCTGATGTAATGATGAATCAGCATGGCATGGGTATTACCCTTTTAAGACTACGTATGGGTCCACAGAATACCCCTTTAAGAGGTATCTATATAAAGGTAGCCATTAGAGACGTGTTTTCTCTCCTTGTGTCCTGTCTTCATTGCAGAGTTCTCCATGTAGAGTTAAGAAGATGGATTGCTTGTCAGGTATTTGCCTACCCCGTATATGTCTTATAGATAAACCACTGTTAAATGTCTAAGCCTCTGTGTGCTGTTTTGCTCTTGGGTCGTCTCACAATAACAGTCACGCTGCAAACGCTCTGACAAACTTTGTCTTGCTAAGAAAGAAAGGTTGTTCAGTGAGTTTTGCCCTGTTTTATGACCTTTACTTGCTACCGTTGTTAAGCGAACTGCTGCAGTTATTAAGTGAGGAACACGGTTGTTAAGTGAATCTAGCTTCCCCGTTGACTGTGCTGGTCAGAAGTTTGCAAAAGAGCAAATCGTGTGACCCTGGGACACTGTCACCGTCACAAATACCAGTCAGTTGCCAAGCCTTTGAATTCTGATCACATGACCACCAGGAGGATGTTGTAATGGTTGTTAAGTGTGAAAAACGGTTGCAGGGGACTTTTTCCCAGTGCTGTTGTAACTTTGAACAATCACTAAACGGACGGTCGTAGGTCGAAGACTACCTGTAGAATGACAGTGGCAAAAGAAAGAAACGATTTTATTATGATTTTAAATTTTATTTAAAGTTATTTTAATTAAACCAAGATTTAAAAAGAAAAACAGGTAGAAGCTTTCAGGAATTGCAGATCACTTCTGTGGGACACATGGCACAATTAGACAGGTCCTCGCACTTACGACCATCCCAGCGTTCCCCACAGTCACGTGATCAAAATTTGGTCTCTCTCTTTTCACATAAATCCACTCATCTGTATCTATCTACTAATCATTTGTAGACAAAGTTCCCATGTTATAAAATATTCCAAATCTTTTTCTTTAATTTTTTCGAGTTAACCTATCTGTTTCTGCTCATTCCAGATTTTTTTTGATTATATTATCTTTTTGATATTATATTACGCTTTTTTTCAAGAGACAAAAGTTTCTGGTTTTTCTTTCGAAGATGTTTCGCTTCTCATCCAAGAAGCTTCTTCAGCTCTGAAGAAGGAGAACTGAAGAAGCTTCATAGAGAAGAAGCAAAACGTCTTCAAAGGAGGAAAAAAAAAACTAGAAAGTCCAGTTTTCTCTTGGGGAGAAAAAAAAAAGGCACCTTTGAGACAACGATGACCTGGATGACTTGTGAATTTCTACAGATCTTGAAAATGAGATCTTCCCCTTCCGCACAACCTTGGGTGGGCTTCTGGTGCCGGGTGCGATTCTTACCTGACTCTCCTTGTCTCCCCCAGGAAGGATTTCAACGCCACCCGTTACCCGCAGAACCTCTGGCAAGCGTCCTGCTCTTGCGACCATTGTCTGTCCTTCCGCTCGAGCCCTCGGCACGACGCGAGCACCTACAACAGCTTGGAAAAGAGGGGCAATTCGGTCACTGTGCGAAGCAGCATTCTGGTCTTCTATCGGAAAGAGTGTCCCGGCAGAGAAGGATTGTTTTATCTACAACCCCACAATTATGAGCTTAACGTGTCTTGCGCTTGCGTGGTTCCCAGGTACTCAAGCAAGGGCAGGAAATAGTTAAGATCTTTAAAAAAAAATATAGCACCCAGCGCCAGTGGTGGGATTCAAATAATTTAACAACCACTTCTCTGCCTAATGATTTTTTCCAACGACCAGTTCCACCAGTGGTGGGATTCAATTTTTTTTTGTGGGTGTGGTTTGGTGGGCATGGCAGGGGAAGGATACTGCAAAATCCCCATTCCCTCCCCACCCCACTAACCTGCTTTCCAGCTCCGTTCTCCTGGGCAGGGCAATCAAAGAAGACCCAGCCAATCAGCTGGGATTGGGGAGGCGGAGAATAGATGGGGGCGGGGCCAGTCAGAGGCGGGATTTGCCAGTTCTCCGAACTAGACAAAATTTTACGCTACCGGTTCTCGGGAACCGGTAAGAACCGGCTGAATATCACCTCTGCAGTTCATCAACAACCGGTTCTCCCGAACAAGTGCGAACTGGCTGAATCGCACCACCGCCTGGCGCTCATGACCAGATTGCTTAGCCTCCACCGTTAGCGACTCTTCAAATTAACAATGGCACCAGAGATTTACGTCCATGGCAGCATCCCCAACGCCATAGGTCGTCCTCAACGTACGACCACAATTGAGCCCAACCTTTAGGAGGCTGAGTGAGTTTTCGCCCTGTTTTTATGAACTTCCTTGCCCCCCGCGGTTCAGCGAATCACTGCAGTTTGTTAAGTGAGTAACCCGTTCATTAAGTGAATCTGGTTGGTTTTGCAAAAGGGGAATTCCGTGACTTCAGGACGGTCATAAGAGTGAGTCGGTTGCCCAGCATTTGAATTTCGATCGCAGGCCCATGGGGGGTGCGGTAACGATTATAAGTATGGAGGGGGAAAAAACCCAACTTTTTTTCAGGGCTGTTGCAACTTTAGCGGTCACTAAAATGAACTGTCGTAAGTTGAGGACTACTTGTATATGTATTGTATATTTACAATGGAGTCATGTGATTGCCGTTTGCAACCGTCCCAGCTGGTGAGTCCAATGGGGGAAAGCCAGATTCACTTAACAACCACATGATTCACTTAACGACTGTAAGGATTCACGTAACAATGGCAAAAAAGGGGGTCGGAAAATCAGGCCCATCTGACTCCTAAACCGTCTTGCTTAGAGACTAAAATTCTTGCCTCAATTCTGGTCATAAGTCAAGGACTACAGGCATGGCTAAATTTTAATTTTATATGTAGTAAAATACAGGACTCATACAGAATACAGTATGATCAGAAAGGCGATAGTGGTTTAAATGTATTAGAAACATCTGTGCATTTGAATAATATTTGTTCTAGATAACTTTAGTGTTATCATGATTTGTAATTGTTTTCTTTCAATTTATATGAAATGAATTTTTATGTTAATGAGATTTTACCCTTTGGGTAGTGAAATATTTGCAAGAAAATAAGCTCAGAGAGCAACAAGGATTCCTCCCTTTTAATATATTCCTCCCCCCCCCCCTCCTCCCCTTTGCCATTGATCTCCAATGTTATTTCCCTTGCAATATTGCTCGTCCCCCGCCCCTGCAATTTTGTTGTGAATGATAAGCAATAAAATATAATTAAATAAAATTTAAAAAGCAGCTGTTCCTTCTTTGGCAGCCTTCTTAGACAGACCAGATAGGAAACGAGACCAAATTAGCTAACTCTAAATGTATAGAATAGAATAGAATTCTTTATTGGCCAAGTGTGATTGGACACACAAGGAATTTATCTTGGTGCAAATACTCTCAGTGTGCATAAAAGAAAAGATACGTTCATCAAGAGTCAAGAATCATAAGGTACAATATTAATTGTACCTTGTTAATAATAGTCAAATCAAATCATACTAGGAAACAGTCAATATACATCGTAAGGATACAAGCGACAAAGTTACAGTCCTACAGTCACAAGTGGGAGGGGATGGGTGATAAGGAGTGATGAGAAGATTAATAGCAATAGTAGTGCAGACTTTGTAAATAGTTGGACAGTGTTGAGGGAATTATTTGTTTAGCAGAGCGATGGCGTTCAGGGAAAAACTGTCCTTGTGTCTAGTTGTTCCGGTGTGCAGTGCTCTATAGCATCGTTTTGAGGGGAGGAGTTGAAGCAGTTTATGTCCAGGATGTGAGGGGTCTATAAATATTTTCACAGCCCTCTTTTTGACTCATGCAGTATACAGGTCCTCCATGGAAGGCAAGTTGGTAGTAATTGTTTTTTTCTGCAGTCCTAATTAATCTCTGGAGTCTGTGTCTGTTGGGTTGCAGAATCTTATTATAAGGGTAAATTAACAGAATTATTTTTGCAAGTCTCGAAGTACAAATCTCCTTTTTTATGGCCTGAAAAGTACTTTCCGAACATGTTTATCCATCCATTAGGCAGTTCTGGGCTATGCTGACTCTTATCTTATTTGCAAAGAAAAGCAACTAAGAGGATTAAAGGCCTGGAGACTAAAACATACGAAGAACAATTGCAGGATTTGGGTTTGGCCAATCTTGCCTTCAGGTGCTTTGGAGAATAGATTGATCCCCTTGTTTTTTGTGGCAGACCCTCAAATATTGGAAGATTGCCAACATGTCACCTTGGTCCTTCTTTTCAATAGACTGGGTAGATCCAGTTCCTGCAATCATTCTTCGTATGTTTTAACTTCTAGGCCCTTAATCATTTTCTTATGACCATAATGGCGTTTACAACTTGACTTCTGCAGTTGTGGGTACTTCATCCCTGGAGGTTTTTAAGAACAGATTGGACAACCAATTTGTCTCTGGGATGATATAGGTTCTCCTGCTTGAGCAAGGGGCTGGACTAGAAGACCTCCAAGGTCCCTTCCAGTTCTATTCTGATTGTGTCACAGTTATAACTTAGGATGATACTACAAAAAATATGTTGAGATTTGGAAAAAATTCAAAGAAGAAGCAACTAAGATGATCAAAGGCCTGGAGACTAAAACATATGAAGAATGGTTGTAAGAATTGGGTTTGGCCAGTCTAGAGAAAATAAGGACTTAGGGGTCACATGATAGCAGCCTCCTAATATTTGGGGGGGCTGCCCCAAAGAAGAGGAGGGGGTCAACTTATTTTCCAAAGCACCTGAAGGCAGGACAAGACGCAATGGATGGAAACTAATCAAGGAGAGAAGCAACTTAGAACTAAGGATAATTTTCCTGACAGTTAGAACCATCAATCAGTGGAACAACTTGTCTCCAGAAATCGTGGGTGCTGCATCACTGGAGGTTGTTTAAGTAGAGATTGGACAACTATTTGTGTGAAATGGTCTAGAGTCTCCTGCCAAAGCAGGGAGCTGGACTAGAAGACCTCCAAGGTCCCTTTCAGCTCTATTCTGATTGTTTATTGATTATCTGACAGTTCCCCCGAGCAGCATTTCTTAACAAACGTGGGAAAAAAGATTGTAAAATTGGGCATGTCTCACTTAGCAACAGAAATTCTGGTCCCCATTGCTATCGTATTGTAAAAGATGTCTCTGATCAAGTGCAAAGTTTCCTCTCTCAGTCAATGATCACCTGTCTCCCCAAATCTAGTCTTCATACTTATGACCGGTTCTGAAGTTGCATGGCCATATTTTGGGAACTTGGCTATTGGTCTGCATTTATGGACGCTTGTGCAGGGGTGGGATTCTACCAGTTCGCACCTATTCGCTAGAACCGGTTGTTAACATTCTTAGCAGTTTGGAGAACCGGTTGTTAGAAGAAATTACTGGGCTAATCCTGTAAGGAAGGCGGGAAGGAAACATTCTGGTGTTGCTTACAGAAACTGCCTCTTCGTTAACCCTTATTACATTCTTGGCAGGACTAGATTTCCTGTCTCAGGAACCTCTCTGGAGTTTTTCCCCCTCCTTTGCTGGTACTTTGCTTGTGTGGAGTGACCATTCAAAGTTACAATGGCACTGAAAAAATTGACTTATGACCATTTTTCACACTTACGACTGTTGCAGCATGCCCACAGTCATGAGAGGCCAGGCAAGGAGATGCGTGCCTTGATGTGAGTGATATTGAGTTGGCCACACCCAGCCAATCACATGACCACCAAGCATGTCCACCCAGTCACATGACCACCAAGCCACGCCCACCACCTAAGCCACACCCACAGAACTGGTTGTTAAAATTTTTGAATCCCACCCCTGCGCTTGTGGTTTCCCACATTCATGTGTGACCGATTTATGACAGTTTCCCCCCAATGTTTATTTTCAGGTTTTGGGGAAAACACCCATAGGAAACATTGGGTGTGCTTAACAACCACTGCAAAAATGGTTCTGAAATCAGGTCTGGTCAGATGACTTGTTCTAACGATTATCGTTACTGAATGCACTTCCAAAATAGGCAGGCCTTGCATTTATGATATGCCATATGCTAGAGAGAGAGAGAGAGAGAGAGAGAGAGAGAGAGAGAGAGAGAGAGAGAGAGAATAAGATAGAATAACCGAATAACCAAGGATAATAGATGATAGATAGAGGATATAGATAGATAGATAATTGATAGATAGATAGATGATAGATAGATAGATAGATAGATAGATAGATAGATAGATAGATAGATAGATAGTCAGACAGACAGATAGAATAACCAAGTGATAAATGATAGATAGATAGGTGGATGATAAATAGATAGATAATTGATAGGTAGACAGATAGCTAGATGATGATATATAAATAGCTAGCTAGTTAGACAGACAGATGATAGATGATAGACATAGATACAGATAGATGATAGAGATATAGATTAAATAGATAGATTAAATATATATTGATAAGTAGATAGATAGCCAGATAGCTAGACACAGATGATAGATGATGATAGATAGATACAGATAGATGATAGACAAATAGACACACAGACAGATACAATAACCCAATACTCAAAGATGATAGATGATTGATAGATTGATGGATGATAAATACAAAGATGGAGATTGATGATAGATGACAGACAGACAGACGGATGATAGATAGATAGAGGTGGATAGGTGGATAGCTGGCTAGGTAAATGATAGATGATACAGATACATGATAGATATTAGACAGAGAT